TTTATTTTATTATATGGTCACTAGGGTACACCAATCTACTGAGGTCTATGTATACCTTTAAACGCTTCAGATGTCTGCTGCCATTCTCACCGTGTGGCTCAGCATTTCGCGCATTTCGAAAGTTCGCAAATATTTCACAAAACGTTACGGTTATGTTATTATCGCTATTGTTGTAGGCACAAAGCTTCTTTTGCTGCAAGTGCGCCCGCTTGTATTGTTCTTGTTTTTGTCGGTTTCTTGTTTTTGCGAATTTCCGCCTATTTCAGTTATGTCTTGCCTAGTTAGATTTATGTATAGGAATGTACCCTAAGTGCGCGTATATGTGTGTATGTATGTATGTGTTTTTATTTAAGACACTTACTTTTCACCAACAAAAACTCCTATGCTTTATTTGTATATTGTTGCAATGCTTTTGTTTTTCAAAATTTTGTTGAATTAGTGCAACAAAAGAAGCTTCGAGTTACTTGCCACACTCGTAGCCTATATAATTTGCACTCATGTTGCACTTGTTGTTTTCAGTTTAATTCTGTTCTTGTTATTGTTATTGTTGTTGGTGTAAAGTTATAAAGTAATTTCCCGCCTAAACAAAGCCAAAAGGGTCAGCTTGAAGTCCCCATCGAATATGGTTAGAAGTATGTGCCGCCAAGAAAGCTAGAAGGTTAAGCAACAATTAAAATGTGAAAAATTTTATTTTTGAAAAATAAGTTCGGAAATAAAGCTTAAAAATATTTAATTTTTAAATATAAATAATTTTAGTAACCGAAACTCATTATATATAGAATAGGGGTTTCTCAAACTAAGAAGGGACTTTTGGTATGCAGAAACTCGWATAAGTAAAAAACTCGAACTGCGTTTTGTTTTTCAAAGAAAGTTTTACAATTTTTCCAAAAATAAAGCTCTCAACACGCATGTAATAAATTGAATTGGAACTCACTATCAAATGTTTACAATAATAATGAATAATTCTCTCTCTAAGATGACAACCTTCTTACTCGCCTTGAAGACGAAAGTATATGGTTAAAAAATTCTCAATAACTTGGAGCGGAACTGAACCAATATGAAAATGTTTATTAGTAATATTTCTTGAATTGGCATAAAATGTCTTGCTCTTTGAAGAATRKTGTGATACACTGATATGAACATTTYTAATAGTAGTATATTTAATTATAGGCTATATTTTTACCAATTAAGCGAACATATTATATTACTCTGTGTGTGTTGGTCACTAATAAATATGATTAGTTTATTTATTTTAAATTGTGCCTAAATATAAGCAACACTATGCATTAACAATAGAAAAAAGATATTAGTTTAGATAGAGATTCAGTTAAGAGACTAACTATTGTACTAAGGAGTTAGGAGTAGTCATATTTTTCAAAAAATTATAATTTTTTTTGCATTTTCGTTAAGTGTAATGTCATATAAATATTCTCCGATTTCCGATTGATCCGATAAAGSGCTAGTGTGAAACTTTAAACGCGTTCTTCTCAAAACTATGTTTTTTGAACTGGCGACAACTGTAACTCAAAAACCGCTCAGTAAATTTTAATGAAATTAATACAGCTTTTAGAATACATAATAAACTCAGGCCTGATCGAAGGATTTTTTTTTTTTTAAATTTCGAGTTTTTCAGACCAATTAACAGTTGATTTTTTTCAAAAAAATTTAGAAAAAAATTTCCTGAGACCGCCATTTTATTAATTAAAAAATATCCTTCGATCAGGATAAGGATTATCTATTTATACAAATAATTTTTTCTGTCCGATTGATTTTAGATGAATCTCTAAGGACTTATGGTTGTAACCGTAAGTACCTATTTTTGAACTGGGTCAACACAAACAACTATAACTTTGGAAATTAAAGATTTTTTTTTCCTTTTCGTGATTTCAAGTGAACACATTATATAATAATGCCATATTACTTCTTCTTCTTCTTAATTGGCGTAGACACTGCTTACGCGATTATAGCCGAGTTAACAACAGCGCGCCAGTCGTTTCTTCTTTTCGCTACGTCGCGCCAATGGGATATTCCCCCGGCGGATACTGCGTCGAATACTTTCAGAGCTGGAGTGTTTTCATCCATTCGGGCAATATGACCTAGCCAGCGTAGCCTTGTCATCGTCCAAGAGTTTGGTTTTTGTTCGTCGAGAGAGGACTTTGCCTCTCAATTGCCTACTCCTGTTGGCAAGAGTTATCCTGCGTTGGATTTCCAGGCTGACATTGTTGGTGGTGTTTACGCTGGTTCCAAGATAGACGAAATTATCTACGACTTCAAAGTTATGACTGTCAACAGTGACGTGAGAGCCTAGTCGCGAGTGCGACGCCTGTTTGTTTGATGACAAGAGATATTTCGTCTTGCCCTCGTTCACTGCCAGACCCATTTGTTTGCAGACTGGACAAGGAGTCTGGAGAAAGCGGAACTAACGGCGCGGGTGTTGAGGCCATATTACTACTTTTGTAAAATAACACGATTTAATAGCAAAAAAAACCCCTAACTCCTTAAGTAGCCAAGAATTAATACAACCGATTTTATTGAGTCGAGGAGGCTGATTATAAGCACCAATATTTATATTAGGTTTCTTTTTTTTACATTTCGGTTTTTTCTTCCGTAAGTGCATATCGATGTATAAAATCAGCGATCAGGAGTCAGAAATTAAAATATTGATGCCCTACACATGACTTGTCGAAAATTAAATTTAAAAATCACAAAGCAACTAATTACTTGCACTTTCCTACAGGGTAGAYAGTTCCAATATAGTTATTGCAACCATTCAAGTATATAGTACAACTAAGTTTCCATTTGACAGCTCGTCAGATTTGGAAGGGATTGGCATATGATTGGCGTGCATTTCCTGTTAAATATTTTACGGTAAAATATATTACTGTTATAATATTTAATTTAATGTTCTGCAGCACCAAAATCTAAAATATTGCACTCCATTAAAGGTTTGGCTTGTTATTATTTGATGTACACATTATAATAATACATACAGTGGTGGCCCTTAAATGCTTATGTACTGCCGCTTTACATAGAAAATAGTCCCTATAGTTTATCAATCGTTTCATAGTGGACGGAAAGGAAATATCACTAAGCGATTATGAATTGYAAAACCGATTCCCTAAATGTTGACTATTCACAAAATATTCATAAATATAAATAAATCCATAAATATTATATATCCACAAAGTAGCTCTAAGTCAACGAAGAAAAATTCCAGCAAACTCGTTCAATGGGCACAGTCTCATAAGTCGAAATGGGAAAAATAAATAAAGAATTAAAATAATACCAGGACACCTACGATTTGAACTGAGGAAAAAAGTACGACTGTAGTTTCTGCAATGCCCGAATTCCTAATGATTAGCGTTAAACCTTCTTCTAGAACGTTAAATATTTGCTAAATGAGAAAGTGTCGATGAAAAACCACAATTATAGAGTTGTTTCCAGTTGCCGATATCATTCCGTGGTACGAATGAAATTTGCTTCGGTCTCGAGGATTTATCTGCGGAATCCGTTAATCTACAGCCCTGACAATAGAAAAAAGTCGCGAAGGTCGCGAGAATGCGATAAATTCCGAAGTAATCCAAAACCCAGTTAAAKAATTTCTGCTATCGTTTCCGCGGATTTTTGATTCGACGCATCAATCGATTATGAATTCACGCGATTCATAGCTCCTCATAGTCAAATATTCATGGATGCTACATCCGACATTCCTTCAGTTCAAAATTTCTCCAATTTGCGAGTTAATAAATGTTAAAGTCAACAACTGTATCAAAAAATTAAAACTTTATGATAATTACGCTCCTGASTTCTTGTGCTAACGTCCATAAGTGAAATATTTATGCAAAATACACATACAAACGAACATTACTAGCGGTAATAAACGAGTGACAATTAAATTGAGAGCAATTGAGTTACATGTGCACTTTATACACAGTTCAACATGAATTTTTGATGCGAGCAATATTCATATTTATRCATATGTATGTATGAGTGTATGCACCGTTAATGCGRCAGTTTTCCAAATAAGTGTAAATGTATGTCCATATGCATGCGCTTTTTCATAATTATTATGTGACATTTCATCTGTCACTTAATTTTCAATTTTCCACAACTTCTCTCATTGCTGTTGTAATTTTGCGCGATTTCTTTTTTCACTTATGTCATTGCGTTTATGTAAAACTTATGCGGCAACCCAGTACACCAAATTAAAGGGAAAAATAGATAATTGAAAAAGATTCTCGCAGATTAAAAGAACTTAACTCGTAAGTGCAGTTTTTGAACTAAAACAAAAATTTTTTAGGGCAAACTTGTTTACATCAATTAAATACAACACTCGATATGAAGTAATTTGGAAACCTTTTACCATGTCGGATATAAAATATAAAAATCGAACAGTTTCTTTATTGAATAGATCAATTGATAAAGCGGTAAACAAAAAATTTTCATTTTTTAAAATGTTATTTCTAAAATGACATAACTCTAAATTTTTTTCCACAATGAAAACATCAATGCTCACTGGCCTGTRACAAATACCTGCAACAAACAACTTTGCTTGTGTTAAAAATTTACCATTCATACATTTATTTTACTTACATACACACACATATGTATGCACATAAATTGTTGAAATATGATCCAATTGCACTTCATTAATCGCATTATATATTGAGCTAAATGAATCGCTCGGTTATTTCATTTTAATTGAATCTGCCAAAATAATTTTTCAACATATCAGATCCCATCATGTATGCATGTAGAATTGTGTAGTTTTTTAATAAAAGAGAATGAAATAGAAAATTCAGCGTCCAATTTTAATTAAAAAACCTTGTATTTTCAAAAACGACGAATTCTCATTCTCTAGCAATGTAATTTGAGCCACATATAGAGAGCGTGATATTTTAAAGGGCTATAGATGAAGGGAAAGTCGGTTTTTAACAAAGCTCGACAAAATGTCAAGACTGGGTCTTAGTAAAAAAGAACAAAGCTGAACCGCTTGTCATTAAAGCATAAATTTAAGTATTAAATGCCTTTTTAACATCTGCTTTAAATTGCCTTGAAGTGAGCTATAAGGAAGTGTAAGTATAAATTTGTATACCCTGAAGAGGGCTTATTACGTTTAGTGCGGTTGAAAATTTTTATACTTTATCTCTAAAATATTCTAAAAAAACAAAACATAACTGAATGCATTACAGTCGGAATTTGAATATCTATGAGTTATCTCGCTTATTGGAAACATATACTTAGTGTTGTCAGGTATGGCCAACGAGTAAATTGGTGAAACTCATCGTAACCTCCAAATGTTCATATGCGACCTGGTCTACGAAAAGGGAGCTAACGTGCGAAAACTAGTTTATGACTTTTTGGATTCTATCACGTGAAAAAGCATCTCATCTTCCATCCGAATCAACTAAGATTTGACACCTAAGCCCCCTTTCCGTAGACCAGGTCACATATATTGGTAGCTAATGATAAGTCAGATGGAAAACTGAAATCAAACCATCAAACATGCATAATAATCGATTATCTAGAAGCATATTTTCAAGCACTGGATTATTATCTAAAGAATTCTTCTAATAGGCCTAACCATATTGGCTCTACCGAAATAATTTCTCTGAGATGGACGTGTGTAGATTATATATTATCAGTTTTAAAGTTATATCACGAAGCGAGAATGTTGTAATTGRCAAACTATGGCATTTCTTATCCGTACCCGACCACTAATTCATCCAAAAAGCTCTTCATTATATTTSTTTAGATAAAATAGTGTTTGCGATTGATTATTGTAATTTTTGACATATACAAGCCATATAAGGGCTTATACATACACACATAACGGTGCTAGTAATTSTGTATTTCAACAAATCAAATAGACAATTTCACTTGAAACAATTCAAAAGGCACTTTTACCTGCCATTTTCCCATCGGAACTGCTAACTTAAATGTATGTATGGATATTACAAATACATATATATACACCCACACACAACCGCTTGGTGGTACTTTTGTGGTTGACCGCACATTCAATGGTCTTTTAACAATAACATTTACCGACAATTGCTGCGCACTAACGGTAAAAATCAAATCAAAACAAATGACCTGTATTTCTATTTGTATATATGGGTATGTGTGTGTGTGTGGGTGTATGCAAATCATTGCCAATAAACACACTGACTGCTCTTGAGCACTCGAGTATTCTCAGTTTGGATGACCTTTTTAGCGCGATTTATTAGGTGCCACCGAACTGCAATGCAACAGATATGTGCTTTCAACGCAAAAAAATACAAAATGCAGCTGCACCGTGCAACTTCAATACAACTGTGCTTTATTTGATTTTATCACAATTTATTTGCGTATTTTAGCCACGTCTAGCGCAGAAAAAACGACAAAAAAATTATGGAATGCAACTGACTTGTGCGGGAATATGTACATACAAGCAAACATATCGTGCCAGCTGCGTGGCACTCACACAAGCTACATGCAACATGCATTCGAGTTGCAACTGAATGCAAAAATCGCTTGCTGCACGAAGAATTTGCTGAATTTGCGGTTAAAAAGTAGTGTCAACAACAACAACAACAGCAGTTGCCAGGCAGGTGTTGCTGAAAGGTAGTGAGCATTGACAAACAAAGTTTTGGATGCACTCGGCGCTTAGGTCATCGAATTATTTAACCTTGCAACTTACCTATCAATACTTAGCTGCGTTGCATAAGCATGTGGCAGGTAGCAGCTTGCTAGCACAATCCTTTTTTGAAAATAAATTAACATAATTAACGCATTATAGGGTGACCAATTCGAATGAAAGCTGCAACAAGTCGGGTTTTATGTCGTGTGTACTCTCCTTAAGGTTTATCGAACATATCAAACTCAAAYTACTACGAAAAGTTTTTTCAATATCAATTTCCCAAGGAGCTATTCTTGGTCTGCACCCTGTTCTTTGAAACACTGTTCAAACTAAAAATAAGGTTTAAAAAAAATATGCCTTAAAGCGATGTCTAGCCTCCATTGTACAATAAAACCTAATGCCGGCAATGCAGCTTTTGATTATATCTAGTTAATCCCGAAGAGGTTAGAGTTAGTTTTCGTTTACATCAAAAATCCTCAAACAGTCGTTCACAATATTTAAATTGTCGCAGAAGTGACAATTCTCAGTCGGACAYAAATTCGAGACCAATCCAATTATATAGATCAGAGTGTCGTGTGAACTTTACGTTAAGCCATTTAACTGAAGTTATCATTAGTGAAATGGGTAACAACAAACAGTTAGKTTTGTTTACGGAGGGATGACATTACTTTCGAATTACTCAGTTAAAAAGTGAAAATATGGCCAATAGTTTTCCTATGGTAGATTTTCAAACTGCAACCACAGTCATTACAGGTGGCAGAGTATTTTCTTAAATTTAATTAAAGTAAGGCCGCTTAAATTCAACAAAAAGATTAAATAAAATATACCCCATTAAAGTTTTAAACTCTCCTCTGGTCACTCTATTGTAAAGTAAACGTTCCAACTCCCATTGACTTCTTTCGCATCCTCCATGACCGAAGCCAATACACAGCAACCGGCGCAAATGCATAAATAAAATGTGAAAAAAAAAACAAAAACCAAAAAAAAGAAGCAACAAACGATATGTACGGTGACCTTTAGTTATAAAAACACATGTAAATAAATGCGCACACACATTTGTGCACACGTGCGTGTGTGCTTCGGCACTCATACACTTGTTTCCGTTCGATTTATTGTTTAACCGTCCGTACAAATACCGTTTCCTCATCGTCGCTCAATTGTGGGATGCTGTTGCGGTTATGGCGCTTAATGCGACGCATCGACCATCCGAGTATCCTCTGCAACTTCGCCCTTTTGCATGCATTCATTGCATTTGTTTTTACAATATACAGATATGTATACATGTATGTAYATATATGTTCGGGTGTGCATRGCACCTCGAAGTGGTTGTATTGATAACTGAGCGGTGAATTTATTTGAAATACGCTTCTTTATTCGCATTTAATCATTCGAAATCAAAGAGCACCTATGCAACATTCTCATGTCTCTAGTTGCCACAGTCTAGGTTAGCTTGGCAGAAAATTGTATGAAGAACCTCTAGTGGCTTTAAGTGAAAATTAAAGTTGTTGACTTAATAATCTACTTTTAATGAACCGCGGAACGGGCTTTTTGTATACTAAATATAGAAAAGGAATCGGATGACCAAATCTTATCTTCTATTTCTGCATGCCAAAAGTATATTCTGATTCTGTGACTTCTATTACAAACCGACCCTCGATATTATGCGGAAATGTATACTTTGTTCTGAACATGCCAAACATTTCTCCAATTGTAATCTCTGATAGCATGACCATAAGACACGCTTTGTACCTTCCTTTGTTGAAAAATTCTGCCTTCCCCGCCGTATACGATTTATAAGCTCCCTGCTCGAACCATCTTTACTCTCATCTATGGTACTACTATGCCTTTTGGTTAAAATTTTATTGTTATTTTAAACAGTTAATTTGCAATTTAAAAAAAGCTATTATACCACTCTAATGAGGTGTCCTCTTACAATCTTGTATCGAACTGAATTCGCTAACTCTTACATATAAGTTGTTTGACAAAAGTGCAGTGACTAAAGTTAGCGAGCTGTGATGGCTTGCTCTACAAATGCCCTTTTAAGGAAATTTGGAAAAGCAGATATGTCCTTAATTAATCAAAAGTCAAAAGATCATGAAAAGAATCTATTTAATTGTAAGGTTATCGGAGAGAATTTATGGGAATTGACAATATATTTGCCAATTTAGCCATTCAAGGATAAAATAGTTCAGAGACTCGAAGCCGAAACACTCCACACAACATTCTGAGTTAGACTCGCCTTTAAAGAATTCGCTTTTTCAGGAGGAACCGGAAACCTTTGTACCATTCAAATGAAGATAAAATCACAAGTCGCCAATTTGTTTATGCTCAAAGGACTGGTCTATAACACACTCCTTGCAGTTCGCGGAATTTTATGTCTAGGAATGCTTGCCCAAAAAGGAAACATTAAYTGACGGAGCCATACTTTTTTTTTTGTTTTCTAGACATGTTGCTACAAAGTATAATAGTTTTGTTYACCTAACTTTTTTGTGTTCCACCTAAAACTAATCGAAATAGATATAAAGCTATTTACTCGCGTAGAAACCGCTGTAGCCAAGTTAAAAACAACGCGCCAGTCGTTTCTTCATTTCGCATGGTGGCGCCAATTGGAGATTCAAAGCGAAGCMMACGGAATGGAGATCTTCCTACGCTTCCCCCGGCGGGTATTGCGTCAAATACTTTCAGAGCTGGAGTGTTTTCGTCCATTCGGACAACAGACGCTGAAATATGTCAATGCCGTCATACAGTTAATCGTTCCATCGTCCATCACTGCACCATATAGCAGGACGGGAATAATCAGTGACTTATAGAGTTTTGTTTTTGTTCGTCGAGAGAAGACTTTACTTTTAAATTGCCCACTTAGTCCGAAGTAGCACCTGATGGCAAGAGATATCCTACGTTAGATTTCGAGGCTGACGTTGTTGTTGGTGTTGATGCTGGTTCCTAAATAGACGAAATTTTCTACAACTTCGAAGTTATGATTGTCAAAAGAGATGAGGGTACCTAGTCGCGAGTGCGGCGAYTGTTTGTTTGATGACAGGAGATATTTCGTCTTGCCCYYGTTCACCACCAGACCCATTTGCTTCGCTGTCTTATCCATTCTGGAGAAAGGAGAACTAAAGGCGCGGTTGTTAAGGCCAATGAATATCATCAGCATACGCCAGCAACTGTACACTGTTATAGTACATTGTACCTTCTCGGTTTAGTTCTGCAGCTCAAATTATTTTCTCCAAAAGAAGGTTGTATGAAACCGTATTAGTTTTGCGGGGATACCAAACTCAAATATCGCGGCATAAAGGCTGCTCCTTTCCGTGCTGTCAAATCCAGCTTTGAAATCAACGAAGAGGGGGAGTGAGTCAATTCCCTTTTCACGGGTCTTTTCCAAGATTTGGCACATGATGAATATCTGGTCGGTTGTTGATTTTCCAGGTCTAAAGCCACACTGGTAAGGTC